AAATTTATCACCCCGGGACAACGACAGGGGGCGTCGGCAGGCCTGAGCCGATAGGCGGCTCCATAGCTCAGTGGTTAGAGCACTGGTCTTGTAAACCAGGGGTCGCGAGTTCGATCCTCGCTGGGGCCTCTTGAGTTTTCCCTTCCTCCTCCTCTTTTTTTTTTTTTAAACTCACGATTAAGCAGGCAGTTTCGCTCCGCGGAGCCGAGGCGGATCGTTCACTGGGAGCTGACGGCCGTAGCCGCGACAGCAGGGTGTTCCCTTTCGCAGCCCGGAGGGCAGCGATAGGAGACAGACGTAACGTTGGAACTGCAAAATGACGGCATGTGCTCCGGCTCCCTCTTAGGCCAAGGGAGAAGCCTAAGCCAGGCCCTGACTCAGCTACATAGATACACTTCTCTAGAAAAGAAGATTGGAGGTTTGTTACTGCCCCACTGCCACCGTGGATAATGCAGCCCCTCGGTCCTCATTCTACCAACTCCGCTTGGAACGCTCCTCCGGGAGTTAGTTTCAGTGCACGGAAGAGCTCCGCTCCTGCCAGGCTGGCGGGGGGCTCCGCACCCCCCCGCCGCTGCTCTGGGGTCAGAGAAGAGGCTCAGCCAGGAGAGCCCCAGGCAGTAAAACCTGCGCCCAGCCCGCAGCCGTGCGCCACGGGGGGCTCCGGCAGGACTGAGAACAGCCTGGGGGCACGGGGAAGCCAAGGGCTCAGCTGGAGCTAGGATTTTCAAGGGTTGCTTGATTGCTGTTGCTTTGATTTGGTCCGTTTTAAAGATTTGCTGAACAGTTCCAGCCCTTCCTGAATCTTTTAGAACCTGCCAGCCATCCATACCTTGGAAAAAAAAAAAAACAAACCACTACTTACAAAAAATACCTTATTTCATTATCTGAAAGACAACTCTTCATATATTTTTCATTGCATTTCAATTAAAGGACAAGGAAAAGGAGAAATATGAGGTCATTGACACGTCTACTTCATATCCTTGGATAAAAGATGCAAGTTCTGAAAGTTGAAGGCACTTGGATTTATTAGACAGTCGTACACAAATCTCATAACTACTTACAGCAGAAGCGGACATGGCAGCAGGATTCGCAAAGAAAAATACTACGAGGCTGGTGCTCTTAAGGTTTAATAGAACATCTAGAGAGACTGCTAACACTGACGTTAATGGAGGCACACCTGGGAGCACTGCCGTAACAAGTCAGCTGACGCTTGTATTTGGTCACTATTGAAAACATCTGTTTCACCATCTTATATGTGACTTGCTTTTTCTGGGACATCACCGAGCTTCAAAAGCTGCTGCTTAATCTACCCCCCTTCCTCCTCTTCCCCAGTTTTTCCTTAGCTAGTGCTCCTTTCTTTGGAAGAAGCTTCTTGGTTGTGGTTAGGTGGGAGCTCTTCTTTTTTGGCAAAGGTGGTGCTGATGTGGTTCTGGAAATAGGTGCAACCTTCTCTTCCTGCTTCAGCTTGTGAGGTTTCACTTCAGCTTTGATTTTCTGTCTCTTTTTACCAGATGAAGCTGTTTTCACTGTTGATGCTTTTGTTTTGGTGACCGACGTCTTTTTAGCTTTCTTAGAAAAAACTGTTGGGATGGCTGCAGTGGGGGTAGAAGATTTTTTTGGAGGCTTGGTTGTTGAAGGTTCATTAAGCAGCTCAAGGACAGTCTCTGAGGAAAGTAATTAACATGGTTCAGCATCTCTGCTTTAAGGCAAAAGGTTAATCCAGAGATGTAACTGATAGAAACCCTTATTGGAGCTACAGTCAAGAAAAATAGCTGATGGTTCTGAAAAAAGTAACACACACTATATAAACCTCTTTTATTCCATGAAAAGAGCCTTGTGTTTCTTAGAAATAAAATTTGTTTAATTTTAGAAATGATGAATGCATATTTATGGAAAATAAATCCAGACAGAATATGATGAAGCCTCGCACACTTCTTTGGCAGACTTGGCAATATGAATTTTTCATGTTACACTAATACCTGGAAATCCCAGAGAAGATAACCTCAACTTGCTAAACACTATTACTACTCAATAATAAGATGTAACCCCTGCCCTAGTTGCATGGGACATAGGACAGAAGGAGGCCAGGAGAAAGGAAGATTGACTCCCCTAGATTTACAGAGGATTATTTGACTCAAGGAGCCTGTCACAAAGCGAGGGACAGGCACTCAGAACTTCCCAGACCAAATCCAACACCTCAATCAAAGCCATCAGTTCCCTTGTGATGCCGATTTACACTGTTACTTGGCAACACTTAGGAAAAAAAAAACCAAAACTCGGAGACTGGGACTAAGACAAGGCTTGGAATCTAGCAGACAACAGCAGCACACATTAAATGTGATAACTTGAAGACTGCTCCTGCTCAGTGCTTTAGTTTTGAAGACCGCTCAAGATTTCAATCACATGCCTGTAAGATGGTTATGTTTTGCTTCACAGTGAAATTAAAGCGTAACAACTTACTTGCACGTGGAACAAATGGTATCCGTTTACTCTTTGTTTTCACTGGAACAGGCTTGTATTTACACTTCCCTGGTGGAGCTCTCCTTAAAACAAAGCCATACACAGATATCAGAGACTGTTAGGAAGTTTATTTATTCCGGAGGCACACATCAATCCCCTGTTGTCATTTGCCTCTGCTGGAAGAGGCATGAAGGCATTTCAGGCACCTGGAGTGCAACGTAGGTGGAATTTAAGAGCCTAACTCAGGGCTGCAAGCCATAAAATCCCTGTCTGAATAGCAATAGCAGCTGGAAGGCTGCAGCTTCTCTTCTACCACTCTTCTAGTCAACTTTCTGCCATCACACAGCCTGGACTGGTTTTATCCAACATCAATAGCTGGTTTGTTTGTGTGTGGGATGCTGGCCTTCCTGCATGAACATCTAGCCCACCAGTGAATTCAAGGGCACTGATTAGGTGTGTGCAGCTACATGTCCTGCTGCTGGAGACACAGCACAATGCTCTTTCTAGAAGCCTGGTGGATGTATTGGTTGAATTTCAGACTATCAGTCACTGCGTTGTTCTCACCAATACTGGCTCGTGCATCCCACCTTGAAGTGGAGGAGTCTCTTCATGCACCGAAGGCTTCTAAGTGTCAGTGCTTTCCACTCAGGGTGAAGCGTGAGAATCTCTACATGCAGCAGAATACTCCCACACAGCCCCACAAAAAGTTAGCGTGACCTTCAGAGGGTGCTGCTTCAGACACAAGATAGTGCTGCGGCAAGAGGGGTGAGGGAGGAAAGGAACGAGGAAGGAGGGAGGAAGCAACAACTGCAAAGAAAATGTATCCATGTTCCTCTCCTGCTGCTCCCTGACAGGTAGGTACAAAAGCACCCCCAAAAAGCACATTTTCCCTGAGGTAAAGCCATCACATCTTCAATGACAGGAAGGGGGGCACAAAGAGCAACAGGCCTGTGTTTTCTATTACCTACCAACGGAACTGCTGTAGGACAAATAAGAACAGGCTCTTCCAATTTGGCATGCTTGACAGCACAGAGTGAAGCAAAGCATGACCTAAGGCATCACATTTTCTTGTGATTAGCACTCTCCTACAGACAAGGGAGACTGCCAAGTGCTTCCTCCATACCATTTCATTTAAAATAAAACTGTTACTTAAACAGGGTTGCTCCCCCCCCTCAACCTTTTAAAGCACCTTCTAACACCTCTTCCCTCTGTTCCTGACTGCAGGAATTTGGTGCCAGTCCAGGCAGAGGCACACCAGCCACTGCTGCTGCTGAGAGCATGCTGGGGAGGCAAGCTGAAGTGGGGACACGGGGCAGTGCTGCTGTCTGTTTTCCTGGGAGGTCCCTAGGGAAGTTTGAGTTGCCATCAGGAAGATGGCAGAGGCCCTGCCAATGTTTTGAAGCAGGCGTTTTGCGGCTTGCTGAAGCACAAGTAGGAAGCAGGGAGTGTCTGCCCAGACAGACTGGGACCGCATCCATCAGAGGAGCCAGTCATCCCAGCCACTGCTCACAGCAAGGCAGAAATGGAAGAATCCTATAAACCGTATTAAAATGCAAAGGAAAAATGAAAAATCTCTGCTTGTGATACAATCAGAAGGCCAGAGTACAGCCCGGGATCTGGAGGCATTAGGACGACTCTCCGCTCTAGAGCCAAGCAAGCCCAGCCTCCAGAGGAGCAATCTGGAGGGTTCTGTGTTCTGCACACCCTGGACAATCTTGCAGAGTGCTTAAACAAACAGGCAAGGGCAAAGCTGAGCAGAGCAGCGTCCAGGCTAAGGTAAATAAGGGGAACCAGAAAATACAAGAATAAATTCCAAAGAGTCAAGGAAATAAGTGTCTGGTCCTGCTCTAGAAGTGATGGATATGAAGGTCCAAAAGCACAAGGAAGATCTGGCTTCTTTCCAGAAAGCCCTTCTGAGCAGTGAAACCATCTTATTTGTGGCACGGGCTTGCTGCCCATGTCGAGTCGCCACAACATGGTGCTGCACACCAGTCCTGAGGCAGGCAGCCTCCTGAAGAGGGTCCCACAGGCTGCATTTCTCCCTTTACAGTGGGGAAGAGGAGAAAATTTACCATCCTGATAGTCATGGTGCATTAAGGAGTGACATAGGGACTGCGGGGCTTGGGTTTTTTTTTGTGAAATAGAGCACGCTCAAGCTCCCTATATTTATGCTGTCTCACAAATCTTTTTCTTTTTTTTAGTTGAAAATGTTACATTTTGATCAGCCACAGTTAGTGCAGTTCAAAAGTTTCCTGGCAGACAATAAGCTGTTGAAGTCAGGAGTCTCCTCAAGTAGTTAGAGCAAGTAAAAGAGTCAAGTTCTTATTCCCATCACTGTGGTACACAGCTCAAGTTAACTATCTGGCTTTGGATTTAACTTCCCAAGAAAGTGTAACTTGTTTTCTTCATTCTGGTAGTGTCTGAAATCTCAGCAACAGCACAGACACATTAGTACCTTATCTACAGGGTGACTTGAAACTCATTTAATGCTTTTTAGCAAGATCCAAAAGCATGGGAGGGGAAAAAAATTACATAAGCATGCTTATTATTGTAAAAAACAGACTTTAGTGGGGGTAACTGCTTAATGGGGAAAAAATATTTTACTTGGACAAATTCAGGTTCAGGGTCAAATTATTATTTGAACACTGCATGAGCCACCAGGTTTCACTCTTCTTTGTGAAGAAAACTAAACTGTGAACTGCAATTTATTTATATGCAAGTGCATCACAGATACTTGATGTTATGGTCCTGAAGGATATAGACTGCCATTCTTAACACACCACTGTGCTATACTTCAGATATGCAACCGAGGAAACATTATTTTGATCCTTACTGTCCAAGACCTTTAAGGTACCTGAAATCTGTTTATTTCTGGGTGAACAGACTTGCTGAGCAGGGAACAAATTAACTAAAACTGACTAAAATTGCAGTAGAGGTACAGTGGGTGAATAAAAAACAACAATTGGATGCAGAGGTCAGTGAGATTACATATCAGTAGTATTTTGCATTCTTTCTACTGTGATAGCTGGAGAATGTGTGGCGATTATAGAAGAATTTGGCATAGAAAAACATCTTTAATTACTAACCTTGCAGGATCAATAAACTTGTAGAGTGATCCATGTGGTGCATAGGCACTGGGATAAGAAGTAGACATAAAATACAGTTCACCTAAATGGAAGTGAGAAGAGAAAACCAGTCTGAGATTTGTGTCCAAGCTGAACCCCAGTTCTCCATTTCCCTTTCTTTCCTGGCTCTTCGCTAATTCACATGATCAGAAAAGAAAACCCCTTCAGTCACTCCATCAGTGGGGTCTTACTTCCAAGAAGTGGGCTTTGGTCTCACCCTGGCCTGTGCAGGTGGACTCCCAGGGACACCAAATGATCACCAGGTTGCAGTTGGGTTCCACACAGAACCAGCAGCTCTCGATCGAATACAGTGCCTGAGCAGGACTTTCATTAGCTCATGTCAGTGGACCTCCAACAAGTTACTTTCCTCTGTATGAAATGTGTATTTTTTTAAACTTGTTTGTACCAAAGAAGCAGCCAGAAGCTACAAATGGAGCGGGAGACCACACAACAAATATTGAACCATCTCATAGTTGTACCAAAAATGCAACAAGAGCTAAATTGGCTAATCCATAGAAAACAGAAGCTTCTTATTCCCATATGGTTGCTGAGGAGAATAACTACTCCTTATGCCTTCCCTTCAGCACCCACTAGAACAATATCCAGGCGAATTATAGTAGCTTGCAAAATAGGCAAAACTGTTGTTGTCTTTCAGATTACATGACAACACCATATTGAGTTCTAAAAGAACAACCAGAAGAGACATTTAACATCCACTCACTCCACATGTTGTTAGAACAGTTAAAATTTGTACATATTTCATAACAAAGCCTACATATCCCTGCATCCTTGACAGAATATGCTAGCTAGACTATCTAGGATCTTTTCATTACAAGAAAATCTTTTTTTTTTCTGCTGAATCGTGAAGCATCAGAGCTCACTAAAGCACATCTCTGTTCTCAAAAAACTTGCAGTCATTTTTTGTAATACATAGCTTTCTGTCAGGAGACTTGTGTTGGTTTAAGCCCTGCTGGAGCCGGAGACCACGTTGCCGTTGTGTCTGAGGGTGGGGGAGGGACAAGTAGGGCACAAACCCCGGGTTAAAATAAGAAGAAAATTTAATACAACAGTGTAATAAACAATCTGAACAACAACAGTAGCAATGATAACAACAGTAAACAGTAATAACAGTGAACAAAAGATATACAGAGAAATACTGCAATGGTTACAGACAGCCCGCCGTGTGCTCCCCATCACTAAAGCCACAAAGGAAAAAGTTCCCGCGCTCCAGAGCTGGACCTGACTTAAGCATGGTATGCATAACCCGGCTGGAGATCCCTTCCCCCTCTCTGCTGGGGAAACTTAACCCTATCCTAGCTGAGCCAGGACAACACTTTACAAAACAGAAACAAAGTTCACCTTGGTGAGAGATCTGGTCATCGTGATCATTGCAATAATCCTATGCACTGAGATGTTTCCACTAAATTTTAAAATGAGTGGCTTTCCTCATCCCCAAATAAAGCCTTGGTCTATAATGCACAGTGTGAAGTGCTGCTGTTGTGAAATAAGACTGAGGAATTCATACTAATGAAGGGGGGGAAAATTCAGATAAGCTGTAAGGACTCAAGCAAGGATGAGCAGTTACAATGAAAGAACAGACTTCATTGATGAAACTGCATAAACAACATTTTATTTTCATTAATGAAACAGCAGAAACAACATCAAAAGGACAGGACAAGTCTGAAACAAACAGGATTTAAAACTCCTTGAAGAACCTGAAGCATTCAGGCTGCAAGCTCAGATGAGGATCTGACTCCTGAGCTCTCTAAGCCAATCTGCAATAACCTCACAGGGCAGGAGACCTCTCCGAACCATATACCAACCCTTCCTGCTACACTGAGGTAGCCACAAACCTGTTTTGCAGTGCCTGCTTTCTAGTAACATGTGAGAAGCAACATTACACATTTGCCCTACAGTATAGAACTGACAGTACAGTTTCCAATAAAGGTGTGACTAGCATGATACCTACCTGCTTCATCCTCAGCAAAGGAGATGATGAACTTGCTATAAGAACCAATCATTCCAGGGAAAGCACATGCTCTTGTGCTGCCAATGCAGATGTCTTGCTTCTTCCACTTATTTGTCTTATCTTCCTGTAAAGCCATAAGTCGACTAGATGAAAAATAAAACCCTGTGTTTTATGTTTCCATTATGAAGATTAGTTCCTGTCAAAAATACGCATTACTGAAAAAAGCATCAGTAAGGACCCTGACTGTTGACTGGCTTTAATGGTTGTCTTTTGGAAAAAATAGACCTGAACAAAAGCAAGCCTATCCTAAGGACTCTAAATTGGAGGAAGTTTAGATTCCAACCAAAATGTTGTTATAATAGTCAAACAGAGCACTTAAACTAATACACAGACATCTAAGATTCTCATTTACTCCAGCTCAGAAGGTTTTGGGATGCTCTGATACGCTTATTTGCCTAGATAAGGCAAATATGGGTACAAAATGGAAGCTGTAGAGAAAACAATTAGTCTCACCCGTTCATGAAATCACCAAAAATATAAAGGCCGTTCAAGTTGGGCGATTCACATCCTCTGTACACATAACCTCCAGTGACTGACTTCCCCACACTGTGGCCATATGCAAATATTGGAAGAATGTCATCTGTTAAACATAAGAATAAAAGGTAAGAAAATCTACATCCAGAGAACATCAAAAAGCGATTGCTCAATGATACCAATGGGCACAAAAATTACTAGAAGGACCAGTACAGTTGAACAAACAGCATAGTTAAATTTCAGTGGGAATTCAGTAATTTACTCCAGGACAAAACAGACCCAGGGGCTTTAAGTATCTCTCTGTGCAGTTGCTTATCAAGGCTTAGTTGTGATGAGCTTCTGTAACATATAGGCCAAGATGCTCTGCATCAAGAGAGCAATACAGAGAAGTACCAGCCTGCAGAAAGTATTATCTTACCAGTTTGTGATTGCACCAATCATTTTAGCAGGGATTCTGGTATTTTTAGAGAAGGGAATAAGATCAAACAGTTGCAAGTTAACATCTTCATAGGCTTGCCAGCATTCTCAGCACAGAACATGCCTAAGTGTGCTATCTCCATTTTATGTCATGAGACATAAAAATAAATAAAGGGGGGCTTTGCTTCTGGCAATGTTAGGATTTAATTCAGCCCTTTCTTGGGTTGAATACCAGATCCCACAATGTTTCAGTCTTGTCCTCACCTTTTTTCCCCTGGATCAAGTAACTTGTCTTTGATCTTCAATGATGAGGATACAGATCACAAATGCCATTCATTAAAAACTGCAGATTAACTGCAAAAACTAATTTAGTTGTTGTCAATTGAGTATTGATTGGGCCATTAAAAAAACCCAACCAAACAGAAAAACTCGAGCCATGTGGGTACCAGCATAGTAGAGGAGAAATCTTGCTAACACATATTCTACACTTGCCTACTCATGTGTTTCAGAAACATCCACATGAGCTTGAGACTTTTTATTCCAACAGCTCAAGGAACATTATAATAATATTCAGTTGCTCTACCAAACTTTCCAAAGAGCTTTAGAAAGATCACCAATATCTACTCTTTTTTTTTAAAAAAAAAAAAAAAAAGGCAGCAAGTGAGTTTGTCACACCCACAGGCCAACCCATAATACAGCTTTTGGGTGTTCTGCTGCAGCACCCTACTTGCCAGGACACACTGCCTCTTCCACAGGATTTGTTTCAGGGTCTCAGCATCAGCTTGGTCAATACTCCTTAGCTATAGCCACTGTTGCGAGCTTCTGAAGAAGACACAGTATTGCTTTTCTACTTAAGCCCAATCCATTGCCTTCTTGACTTCACCAGGAAAACTCTGTCTGCAAAAGGTACAGGCTTTTACCCTAAGCACTTTGTCCAGTGCAATGTATGGCAGCGAGTTCCATGAATAAGCAGGACATCATTACATACCAACATTTCAGGGCTGGGGAAAAGGGATTTCTGCTCTTAAAAAGTAAACTTACCATTTAACACACAACACAGGATTATTTAGCTTCACTGGAAAAATGGTGCTTTAATCCACTAAATACACACATATAATAGTAATCGTCTATAAGAAACTTCTTCCTTACCCAAAGAGGAATTGTGGCAAAGCTTTGTGTCGTAGCATTCAAATCCCTCCTTTGCTCTCCAGCCATAGTTCCCTCCTTTAACAACAATGTCGATTTCTTCAAACCTGTTCTGCCCAACATCCCCACAGAATATCCTCCCTCTTCCCTTTTTCGTGACAGGGTCCCCTCTGTCAACTGCACAGCGCCACATATTCCTGACCCCATAAGCGTAAACCTCAGGGCGGGCCTTGGGATCAGACACAAATGGATTATCAGGAGGAATGCGATAAGGCTTCCCATCCGGGCTTTTTCCATCCACATCAATCCTCAAGACTTTCCCCAACAAAGTACTCCTAAAGAGAGTGACAGAAAAAGAAAGCCCAACATAAGAGCCAGCTGTAAACACAATTTTCTTCCCCCTTTCCAAAGGAAAAGTTATCTGTCCAGAAGAAAGAAACCAGTGGCTGGTATGCCTTGCAACCTGCTCAAGTCATGGAAGACTCTCCCCTCTCTAAACAACTTGGGTTCTCTCAAAGTGTAAAATTTTAAATTTTTGAATACTGCATCAGGCAGACTTGCAGATGCACAAGGACTTTCATAAATACTCCAGTACTTTATTCTTTCACACTGTCTCACTTCCAAACCTTGTATCTTGGTGAACAAGCTCAAAGCTTTCACCTGCTCTCCCACTTACTTGTTCTGAGCATTCCCAAATTTTCCAAAAGGGTCTCCAGCTTTCCCTCCATCCCCTGTGAATAGATACATATAGCCATCCACACCAAAGAGCAGCTGCCCACCATTATGATTTGCAGCTGGTTCCTCAAGCTCCAGAAGATTCCTAAAAAAAAATGAGATAATAATTAAGTCCAGATGTACCTACTGGGAAGGACTGAATGCTCAGGTAGGCTGCAGAAATATTGCATCACTGCTTCTACAGAAGAAAGCAAGATTTCGCAGCTGTGCAGACCTGTCAGCTTTGTTAACTATGGTGCTGAGTTGCATCCTGTTTCCCGTGAGCCTGCAGCTTAAGCTCCTTAAGCTCCTTAAGCTCCTGCAGAGCTCCTTTCAGTGAGGCATCCCTTGGGGAAACACGTTTCCCAGGAGCCATGCAGCACTATAGCTGCCCCGTGCACTACAGCTTTGGGCTGCACTGCATTAATGCCTCTGCTACAGAGCTCGCCCACCACCACAAGCACAGGAGAATCACAGCTTGTCTAAAAACACAACTGAAAATACATCATGTGTTCATCTGCAGGGAACACTTCTTGTCACTTAAACTTTGATTGCAGCAGGTGGGTTCTGCTTTATTACATGAGAAGCAGTTGGTGAATTTGAGAGGTTCAGAAGGATCTTATTTTCTCTAGAGTTTCACGGTCATTGTAAGTGCACTATTAACAAACTCTTCTCCATAACTGAGAATCAGCTTATTTTTGTAGCAGGGGGATGGGGCAGGTGCACATGTGTCAGATCAAATGAACATATAGTATTGTAGTGAAGCATCCCTGTTCTCCTACAGTACAGCACACTTTTAGGGCAGATGTTAATTCCACAACAGGCTTAAGGCTATTACCGCTCTTTAGAAGACAAGAGTGCAAGAGGAAGAGAGAAGATGACCTGGAAGCCTAAATCCTAGGTCTTCTTTTCAGTTTTGTTTCTAGTTTGACATGTGACCTTAACCCAGCCTGTCTCTGGTAGTTTCATAGCAGGCCAGTCATATGCCTGAACCAGGGTGGCTGGGAATGTGCAGGTTCTGCAAGGGGATAGGACAGGGACAGAGAAAAATTTCTCATCGTAGCATACAGTAGGATTCAACATGAACTTTACCTTTCTGAACGTGGATCAGCTTTATTGACATCGGATGCCAAAACCTTCAATTCACTGATCCTGATCTTTTCCACTCGGTTCTTATCCATGTATGAGTAATAGATATAGAACTTCCCATTATACTTGTACTTGGGGTGGAAAGCCATCCCTAGAAGGCCTCTCTCATCCCCTATCCATGGTGTAGCCAGCACTATACTTTTAATATCCAGAAAGGGCTCTTCCAGTCGGCTGCCATCAGGTAGGTAGACCCAGATCACACCCACCTGCTCAGCTACGAACATGCGGTGGGTATGGTCATTCGCATGCACCATGAGCACAGGGTTCCTCAGGCCGTTGGCAACCTCCGTCAGACAGAGCTGGAGGCAGCCTTTGTGGCCCTCTACCACCAAGCCCAGGTTGCGGTTGAGGGCTGTGTTCTTCAGCACGTTGGGGAAGCAGTAGTCCTCATCGTGCAGGTGAAGAAGGTTGCAAAAGCGTGTCCTGTTTGTCTCGCAGCATTCTTGGATGTGCTTATCACTCGTAAGCAGGCTGATGGCAGAGCGGCAGTTGAGATGAAACTCAGAGCAGTAGTCAAAACAAAGTCCTGGGAGGTTTCTTAGAGGTGTCCGAGGGTTTTCTGCATCATAGAGATGTGCAGCATATGGAGAACATTCCTAGAAAGTAAAAGAAACTGAACACACGACTGTGCACACATCCAGGAGAAGCCAAGACACCTTCACAGAAGCAAGCCAGTTAATAAAAATTAGTAAGGCAGAGAACATGATGAGTGAGTCATCTTTGAAGTAGAACAGTAGAAAGTCACTCAGAGTATGGCTGAAGGGAATTTAGAAGTCAGTAGTAGTTTCATTCAGCTGCACCTAATTTATTCCTAATAGAAGTACATCTATGGAGGGTGTGGATTCTCCACTACTAGAGAGTTTTAATGAAGGGACAGGCATTTTCTTCTTGCAATCTAATCTTACCTTTGCTTTTAGAAATTCCCCTTAGTTACCCCTACTAGATTTTAAGCTAAGTACTTTGTAACCTTTTTTTAACAGATTGAGAGAAGAATTAGTTAACCTCCTTAGTGCAGCAACCCTTTGCACGATAGAGAACGTTACCCTTTGTACTTCAGACTTCTCCAGACCAGCAGTCCCAAATCTGGACACATCTTTCACATCAGCTGGCATCACTGACTTTTCCAGATAAATTTAAGATTTTACTTTGTTAAGACACTTAAGCCCATATCTAGGTCTAATCAAGTGTTAGGAAAGCAAGAAAGGAAAAACAGATACAGGTTCACCTGCACCTTCAACACTGTGCACAGCTCTGCTCCCCCTTCCCAAAAAAACCATAGGGGAACAAATTCTCAAGGACAAAGAACAGTGAAGAGCAACAAGGACAGTCAAAGCTACAGAACAGCTAGGTAAAGTGGGACTGAGCAGTCTTGCAGAGAGGTGATTGGGGTCTGTAAATACCACAAGCGACAATGAGAAGATGGATGGGACTCACTTTCCCCCAGAAGAAAAATGAGGTATGAGATTAAGTTAGTAGGAGCCAGGTTAAAAAACGGAGGTGGAACTCTGCCAGAAGAAATTGTAGGTGCTAAAGATGTACATTGGTTAAACATACAGGCTAAATTAATCTTTGGTCTGATGCTGTAGAACTTCAATCATGTTCTTGCATGCATAATATCACTGAAGCAGACTGTAGTTGATATTTAAAACCAATTCAAATAAGTAAATACCTTACGCAATTCACATAGCTACCATTTCCTGAAGACCACATATAGAGTCAAAAATACTGCAGACATTTTCAACTGTTATGTATCTAAAATTATGTCCCTTCAAATATAATTAATTTTCAGCTGTGCAAAATATAGGTTAGATAGTGAAAAATCGGCATTGTGTTTGAATTTGTACCTAAATTTAAACTCACCTTGCAAAAACTCTGTGCCAGAATATTTACATTAAAATCCCACCTCTATTTTAATCAGCACAAAGTTGCAGAAGATAGGAGCTAAATTCTGCAGAAAGATTATTTTACTGGTTTTCATGCCAGCAGCCTGAAACAGTCTATCTAGAGTTTTTATTGAGCACATATGTAGGAAGGTAAGGACACAGACAGTCAAAGAATGAAGAACTACTACATTAGTAATTTTTTCTGCCTTGTTAAACAAGTCTGCTTTATTAAACAGAATTCTTTAAACAAATCTGGGGCAGTTATACAAGCACTGAACTTTTTAAATGGAAGTAGCCTTTCTAGAATATCTAACTTGAAGGCTGCAGACCCCCATTCCAAACAGCATAACAAACCATTTCCTTTGCTCACAGAAGAACCCAAGGGCTTTTGGCCATAGTAAGAACAGGTATGACTTGCAAGAGTAAAGCCCTTTCAACTCTTGGTGTAGTAGGTTACTCACTTTACACGGCTGCCCTTTGGTTATCAAGCTGCACAGAATGAGATACTTTCTGTTGCTTCTGCATCGCATCTGTAAGAAACTCCTCCTATTCCCACAGCATAAGTCCCCAGCCTGCAAAGGGGAGCCAACTCCCCCAGGCCTGTCCTTGAAGCCTGACCCCAGCCCTAGATGGCAGAACCACACCATTTTTACCATGTTTAAGATCCTCCCAGAATGAGGAAGGATACCGTGACCTCTGAGTGCCATCCATAAAAGCCAAAACTTCAGGTGAGTGTCTTTCTGTTCTCACCTTCTTGAAGGAGAGCAGCTTTGGTGCAGGCATTCACACTTGGCTGGTATATTCCTTCCCTAATGCTTTCTGCGTCCATTAACCACCTCTCACCCTCTCCACTTTCACCAATACACACTGAATACATTGACTTTCTAATTATATCATAGTTTTCACAAAAAACGGTGCTGATCTCAAGTGACTCAAGGAGAAGTGACAGCCTGATAAGGTGTCACCAAGGAAAGGTGGAGGAGAGTAGACTGAGCCTAACCTGCCTTGCATTCTGAGACCTGGGAAGCTCCCTCATTCCCACTAACACACACCTACAGCTGGCTCACCACTCTGTTGGGCACAAGTCACTTGCAGTCTCAAGCTCCTCTCAATTCTGTTCTGAAGTGATTATTAACAGCTTTGAAAATATTTTTAATTTCTCTCAATAAGTGGGTACAGAGTCCAGCTCCCAGACCTTTTTTTTCCTCTGAGAAAGAGAAGAAAAAAAAACCCAGCTTGTTCTGAAGGAAGGTATATTCTCAACATCTCCAAGCTCCATCATCTCTGTTCTGCCAACAATCTGCAGTATGAGGGTCTCCTACAGTTCATCCTCCTAAATAAGCATTGCCTCTGAGCAGCTGCCATACTTTTCCAGCCGTTGGGCTTCCCACAGAGTGTTTGCCTGGCAAACAACACCTGCAGCACACAGATTCAGCAAGACGCACAAGGTGAAGGCCATTCCTCAGCATCTATGTAAACTCCCAGCATTAGGTGGCCTTGCAGTCACTGTTGGTTGTCTGCTTTCATTGCACTCAGGCGCACACAATACAATTAATCCCACTACTTTATATAGCAAGAGGCAGAAGCTGCTAAGATCAATTTGATACTTCGTTGTTTTGTAATAGTTTCTCTGCAAAAAGAGTGTGCAAAAAGAGCGTGCATTCAGCAAATCATATCAGGCCTCAGATGAACTGACTCAAAGTGTGTTGCTTTTCCTGCACTAGCTTTTGTCCCATGCTAATATCATGGCTTTCAATCAGCTTGAACAAGGTTTAATTGGCCTTTTTTGTTTTTTCACTTGCTCCCGTAGTGGCTTTCTGAATAGAGAAACATCCTCTCAGCCATCAGCCAAACAGCTGTTCTAGTGCTTGTAGCAAGGTTTGAAGTCAGGGAATTTTTATAGGCAGGCAACTTGCACAACACCTCCTTAAGAACATTACAGGCAGTTTTCAGAGTTTCATACTCAGTTTTTAAGATAAATCCTAGAACAGCTCAGCTGAGGGTCAGACTCTAAACCTGCAAATGCTTAGAACAAGTGTAGCTAGCAAAAATAGACCCAGATCTTGCCAGATGCAAACTGAAGCAGCTTTACCAGAAGAGCCAGATTGCTTTAAATACCTCTTCTAGCCTGTCAGTTTTCAAGAGAAACGTATCTGATTTAGAGTGACAGCAGGAAATCCATGATCCAGAACACATCCCCATCTAATCATCTTCCATCTGTGAAGAAACACACCGCTCCATTGCTAAAGTAAGGTGCACTCCATGGCATCTTTCTTGGGCTCCGCAGGACCAGCGAGACTGCTGCAGTTGCCAGGATCGGCTTCCTCTGTGTAAAACTCAGACCACCACTCATTACCACACCAGGAAGGCAGGGAGGAAAAAAAAAAAAAAAAAGTTGTCTGGTTTTGACTGTCTGCTGGTTTTGGCACTGAAGGAACACCTGTCTGAATGAACTGCTTTGTTACAACGCATCACTACTACTCTGATCTTCCCCAAAGATCTGAAATAATGCTGTTTTGCTAAGTTAAAGCAGTTACTACTAATGTAGGTTTATAAATAAGCACCTACACCTCCTCTTTGAAATTTGTTTTGTTCAAAAGACAAAAGCAAGCAATACTATTTTGTCTACCATTGCTTCTGAAACTAATCTTTGCGTCCCAAGTTCCATATAAATAGTATCAATACAGGCACTTGTTACCAGTAGCAGTTTATCTGAAATCCTACCCTATACAGCAGAAATAAGCACTTGGCACAACTACCTCCTGATCACATATATGCATCTGTATTTGTATTTGATGTGGCACTAAATACATGTCAACACTTCACCGGCAGCAACTATGAACTGTCAGGCTACTGTGGAGGTGGTAGAATGGAGGTGCCATAATTTTCTATCCCTTCCACATGAGATCATCTGTAACAATTTGATCCAGCAAAGCAGCATCACTAAAGCAAAACCATTTGGTAGGCCTTTACTCCTCCACTAATTAAACATTCAAATAATATTTGCCAAAGAACCCAACCTCATTTCCATGGTTGTCACCAACTTGAACAGAAAGAGCAACAATCACAAGCTCCTCCCCAAAGATTCAACAATTTTACTCTAAAGATATGAAAAGACTTATAGCTCATTACTTTGAAAAATCTATAAGGAAATACAGGTGGTTTAGGGTTTTTTGCTACAAAACACACTTAAAACAAATGCAAAATTAAATTATGACCTGCAGAATGATCATTCAAAGAAGCAATAGTAATTTTATAGTGTTTTTTCTACCTTCAACTTGCAGAAGAATCTTCGTAACACCAACACTGGTGGTTCCATTAGGACCTGTGACATCTTTTTCTGGTTTACCAGTTGTAAAATGACAAATAACCCTGATGCTACTTTTTTCGGCCCTGGTGCTGAAAGGGTGTTCCCTCCACCCCAAGAAGATGCCACAAAACCTTGCCAGTATCCAAAAAGAGTGGAAACATTTTGGTACACAGATTAATATTTTAAGGCTAAAGAAATATTAACTAAACGAGTTTTATGTGCTTAGTAAGATTAAGTGTGTCTTTTGGCTGCTTTGTGTTTTGGCATGCAGTAAATCCAGCTCTGCCTAACAGTTGTTAAAAAGGCAGGTCAGTTCTGCACTCTTACTACAGGGAGGCAGGGGACCTCAGGAAGAAGAGTGCCTTTGGTCTTTGCTCACTGTACAGTGCCCTTTCCATGAGTCAGGTGGACAGTAGGGAGACAGCACTGTTCAAAGTGCAGTGAGTGAAGCCTCAGGACCTCGCAGCAGCATCTGTGGGAAAGCACTGCCTATTAAATTTTGTTCTTTAACCACCAGACCATTTGGAGCATCCTCAGCAGGAACATAATCAAAACACATCCTTCCTGCAGTCCTGTGATCCAAACACTTTGCCTGATAATTCCCACATCATTTAATCCTGTAGAATTTGTAATCCAGCACCTAAAAACTGCAAGCAGAAAGTAAATATCGATCTGTAACTCTCCCCTTTGTTATGAGAAAATTAGCAGAGCAGCAAGATTGCCATCACCATGCACGTTGGCCAATGCTTTCATAAATCATTATTGCTAGCAAATGTCACTATTGCCAGATACCACAAAGTGATGCACCTTACACAAAGCACTTTGCAAATTACATGCTGAGGATTAGGTACCGTTACACTGTTAGCCACACAGTTCCCCTGCTCCCACACCTCTTTTCACAGCAACACAGCTAGCTGTAAGAGGCTATCAGAACCACAACTGACTCCCAAGTCAGCCCAAATACAGATACTATTTTTCTGCCTTACCTGACACAGGATATCTTTGATATACGTTCCACACGGTTCATGCCCCTGGGGATCAATATAATCCATGATGTCCCAGTATTTTGCTGCAATGCTGTTGTCTCTCTCCTGGTCACAGCAGCCAAAATTTTCATAGGCAGAGCAGAACTCCAGGTGAAAAGGGGGCTGGAATGGTGGCCCATAATCCAGACACTGAGGATGCCCCAGCAGACTGCCTATCAGGCACAACAAGGAGAGGCAAAAAAAGGAAACTCCAGAGCTGCTGCTGCTCCTTCCAGTGCATGGCCAAACATTCACTTCCTTCAGTGTAGGCTTCTTAAGGTCAGATATATAGAAATCCTGGACTACTTCACAGTATGGTTCATTCATCCTCCCTGTTTCATTAATTGCCAGCCACAGAGCTCAGCACTCACTCAGGGTTTCTTACATTCCCTCTCCCTTTTTCTCTCTTAAGTTTACTACTTGGCAGGAGAGAAATCCTCCGGGCTGCCTCTTTGGTATTTCATACGTCACATAGATGAACCCTCCCCTCTAGACATTTCTCATGCCCCTAGAAGCACTCACAAATCTAATTCCCACAATTTAAACTGTCTGGGAAAGCCTTCACCAAGAAATACAAATAACAGAAATATGATATCTATATACACAACCTGATTATCTCTCCCCATTTACAAAACACAAGTGAATAATTTTCAATTGCCAACAACTCAGCTAATTTTACTCAGCTTTTTAATTGCACCACACTTGGGTCTGGTTTCATAAAGACTGAACAGGGCTCATAAAATACAACCAAATTAAGGCAACAGTTAACCATAGGTACAAGTAATTTCAGGACAAACAGTTTTACATAAATGTTGCTGTTATCCACAAATCCAGGTATACATTCAGGGTTAAATTGAGAAGAATTTCCAAAAGAGTGCAGGAGAAAATACACATTTAAGGCACCAGTACAATCTGAAGTTGACTGTGATACTGTGTGGTAACCCTATACTTAGACTAATTGAATTTCAGTGGCTTTGATCCCAGGTGACATTAAGCTGATTTAAAGAGGCATGAGATTTTTGCACACTTTCCCCTCTGGTGAAGAATGCATGCACTAGCCCTCCAGTTAGTGAAGTACGGCATGAGCTGTGTATGCAGGTGTACCATGTTTGTGCACATTGCATTCAGCCTGTATTTCTGAGAATGACACTTAACTCTGCTCTTCCAACAAACTGACCAAGAGCACTTAGATCACAACAAAGCTCCTTTATCACTTCACCAGACTCAAACATTCTTCTTTCGTGTACACGTCACTACTTATAACAACGCAACAAACCCACACGCGCCAAGCCCTCCTTACCACCAGGCTGCGTGCACCACAAGGCATGAGTTTAACATCAGCCGCACACCAAGAGCCCAAGTGATCTAGTGATGAGGAGGAAGTCATGCTTTACCTTGCAGCTGCAGGAGTGATCAGCTAGTCTGATGGTGTTTGGAAGAGGCTTTTTAGCGTGCATTCGCTCACTAGACGTTTCCGTGCAACAGAGTTTATTAGAAAGCAAGGCTTTGTGATCTGTTCTATTGCTTCTGAAACATCGGTGAGGAACAAAGTAATTTTAAAAAAACAATTAGATTTCTCCTCACCACAGTTCCTAGGAGAAATTATTACAGCCAATGCAATTCTTTGTGCTGTTTCTAGCAACTTCCTACTTACTGCTTTACCTCCATGGGACACAGGCAGAATGGGGAAAGGGAAGCTGCAGGAAGACTCTCATGTATAGGCAGGTCTCCACTCATCCAAAACTTTCCCCCCCTCTCCCCACACAACCCCATTTATTCCCGGGATCTATCTGTATGTAGCTCATGAAGAAGTCAAAGCTCCTGGTCCTAGCTTCTCAATATAAATCACCAGCATAATGTGACAGCTGAGAACACTCTGTGATTACAGATCTCCTCAGAATCTTTACTGGGAAATGATTATTTTAAAAAACCTCTGGGTTTTTAACCTTCACCTGTTTTGCGGTATCTCTAACATGTGGCACCTTGACTGTCCAGTGGCCTGCCAGTAATCCCCTGTCTGGTTAGACTTCAGTGAACTGGAAAACACTAATCACAAGATTCAGCTCTGTCATGAGATAAAGTATTTTAAATCCAAGTATTTAAATCTGCAAAAGTATCAGCTTATCTTAGTTATTGCTCTCATACATTGCAGACAATCACTGAAATTAAAGCTTTACTTTGGTCTCCCCTGGCACTTGTCTTATTTTAAGGCCACAAAAAGCAAGGGTGAGGATATTTGCATACTCTTCATTTGTAACTACAGCCTACAAGTTCCCTATGCTTTTTATTCCTTCGACCATGACTGAGCTCTTTGGAGTAACTAACATTATCCACCATTAAGAGAACTCAAGCACCTCTCCTCCCTTGCCTAGGGACATGCCATTTGCAGACGAAAATACTCAGAATACTTACCCATGTGCAGAACTGCACCTCCTACTTACTGGATTTCAGAGCAGGAGGCAAGAACAGTCCTTGCTGCCCTCCTGACAAGGGCAGAAAAACTACGATTAGCTTTATTCATGTTCAAGCAAGGAGAGAGCACACAACCTCCCACAGAGCTTACTGCCCACGTTACCAAAGTACTCCTTGCAGGGGGCAGCCTGTTTTTTTTGGCAAACATACCACCTCCAGCCATTCTTTAAATACAACACAAGACTGAGCCAAACTTTCCATTTACCATTGCAGATGAGAACATCAATTACAGAAAGCCCCAAAACCCACTAAGTTCAAACCAGTACGTAACACACCAATCCTCCAATTCTGCAGGGACTACTCAAGGTAGCACTTGTTAGTGCTGAAAACATGCTTGACCTGCTCTGAAAGGAAAGACAAGTGCTGCCAGAATTTTCAAAATGAGACTGCTGCCCAGAATACAGAGAACCCGATGGGGAAAAGAAAGGGGGTAAGAATGCACAGGGTTGACATGCTTTAAAAAGCAGCTGATGTTTCATTAGCTTGCTTTTCTTGAGCTTTTACTAAAGACATGCTTAAAACAGGAAAGCACAAGCAGGAACATCAAAACCATGAATGGAACAACAGGGTAAGCAGAGAGTAGAGCTGATTTTTAATTTTGCATTATCATGATATTAGGTTTTAATATTAAAAATACCAGAACAAGAGGTGGAATAACAGAGGGACAACACTGTGTCTGGACAGATGTGGATTCCCTGAACAAGTTCCTTGCCTCAGCATAAAGGAGAACAGCAAAGAAAAGACATGCTATTTGTTTCATTGAAGGGAAAAAAAAAAATCCTGTTTTGCACACAGGATGAGGACAGTTCATAAGAAAACCAAATATAGAACACAGAATTCAGAGCCAAAGCAGAATATTCCAATCCACTAGGAGTTACCATATTCAAAGTACAACACAGGCTTGAAAACAGTGTGCCCTGAATAATTTGCACAGGAAATTTCACTCGGGACTTGTGATCTGCAGGTTTGTCTCAGGTGTTAAGTACTATGGTGTCAGGAAACAGCAGGTTTCTTGCAGGACATGAAAGAGCAATGCTTGAGATAGTTACGTGAAAGCTGGGACTGTGCTGCTCTTCTACTTGCTGACTCCAGCATGGTAGCTGTAGCACAGTGGAAGAACATGGTCCTTGGCAGCAATCCTGCTTCCAGAGGTCATAGGAGAAAGCTGTGAGCACAATGGATTAACAGGTTTTTCCAAGACATCAAGTTCCTCTTTGTCCTCTCATTCTCCTCACCTCCACCCCAGTCTCTGCTGCTTTCTTTCACATTTCTTCCTCAATAAAGAGATGGTTTACTTAGCTGCTGCAAGGCATCCCACATCTCCCGCAGGCAGTTAAGGGGACAGAAAGGAAATTACATGGGCGCTCTCAACAAGCAGCAGGGGCTATAGCATTCAATTTTTATACTTTGTTAGGCTGTATGAGAAAAGGTCTCTGCATGCATACAATGGAGAACAGAGACAATGGAGGAAGGAGCCTAAATAATACCCTGCTGGGATGTTCCCATGCCCATCACAGGAGTCACCAGCCCATCAAAGGTCCATCTTGGCAAATCCAGAGGAACAGAGGGGCACAGCAGTGGGCAGGAAGCCAAAATAAGGACTTCAAGGAAGGGACACCCTGCCTGGTTGCCTCCCAGGGCTCTCCCATGACAGCTTTAGCCCCACTGTCCAGGTATGAAACCCAAGATGAGTTACTGGGACCAATAATCCGCATCTATTTTTGGATTAAGAGGGGTTGTTGTTTCCCAGGGATGTGGGACACCTTACAGGATGCTGGGGATGAGCATTTCAAAACTTCACGATCTAGATTAAAATAGGCAAAACTAAAGCAGCACACAGGCTGGAAATTATAATTACAATTTTTTGAATAAAAGTTACAAGTAGCTCAATGTTTAAGACACATTGTCTTAAGGCAAATTTCCAAAGACTCTTATTAACCCAGACCAAAATCCCAGATAAACACTTAGCTTTTAAAAGCACAGCTGTACTTATCTGTATACTACGCTATTAAAGACAGCTTGCTTTCATTCCCAGAGACAGTTCCGGCAGTTTATCCACCAGAGTGCTACAGACCTGTCATTAAAACAGAAGTAATATTTGGAAACCATTTTGTTGTTGCTTTCAAACAAACTGGAATGCTAGTTTGTGACAACATGCCAACATTTGCTTTCCAAACACAGCAACACTGCATATTTCAACTCAGGCAAGACTGGAAAAAGGTTCTAGAAAGTCTGTTCCACCAAACAAAGAAGTTTTCAGTAGTTCTGTGCCTTTGCTCTTTCAGAGCACTGCAACACTAGCTCCCTGCTCTATCCATGCACCTACAGCAACATTTCACTCTCCCCTACCACCAATGTGAAAACAATCCTTTAACTGGATACAACCTGCAAGTATGTATGATGTGGAAAAACTATCTTTGGCTACTTTGAAGTGTATCATCTATGTGAACAAGCTCCAGGAAGTCTTCACAAGCTGTAATACTTCTCAGTATACAATCCATACATATCAGGAAATGGTCAGTTATAAGCAGCAAGCTATGTAACCTTTCCAGGTTGAGAACACATTTTCACAGTGCATCCCAGGTTAAGACACTACACCTATTAAGAATGCTACTGCTAGTCCTGAATGGATTTTGAACAACATTCCAACAGTCATTTAAATCACCATTTACACATAAGGAGGATCAACACTGAAATACTATTGATACAGAAATTCCACACAACACTACAAAATATTTTTCAAGGTGCATTTGAAGTCAGTGCTGTTTGCATTTCACACAGAAATTCTTCAACCTTATCAGTTGATTTATATTAATTTTATTATAAAATACAAACCAAAGTGTTTTTACAGAAATACATAAAGTCTAGTACTAAGTTGATAAGGTCTGTCTATAAGTTTCAGAATAGCAAAGTTACAGAAGTCAGTTTCACAGAGAGGAAAAAGTATAGCAAGAACCTTCAGGATGCTTTATAGTCAAGGTTGTACAGAGGAATCTGAAAGATCAGATATTCTCAGGTAGACAGGATTGTGCTTATTCACAAATTTCTTCAGTCTCCGAAACCTCTTCATTTGAGCTTTGCAGCCTTTGCGTGATACATATTTAAAGTACTTGCAATCTAAGCAAAAACAAAAGAAAGTATTTTAAGTTATATCATGATACAAGCAAATGCAAAATGCTTTCACTGTTTAAATAACATGCAAACAAAGAAAGTTTTCAGTATCAGAGATAAAATAATCCAAGACATGCACATTAGACTTAACTGCAGCATTAAATAATCTATCCTCATTTGATTCAGAAAACATTCTGCATGTATATAACTGTATGCTGTGTCTTACAAAATACTTTCTTCTGTTTTACCCTTTAAATAGATCAGAAAGTAAAATTTCAAGAGTGTAAAGCAGCGTTGATTTCATACATTTTTCCTTATCCAACACACCAATAAGCACACAAACATCATGAAAGAAAATCAGGGCTGGAACAATTTTATTAGCCACCTGGAAATAGAAGCTGAGAAATATTTTATAACATATTACTGAAAGCAAAATTTAATTTTGATATGAGAAATTGTTTTTATGAGGTTGGCTGACAAGAAACAAGCTGCCTATCAACCAAAGGTCCAAACCAGTGTATGAGCCAGTCTCCATACCATATTCTTATTCTCCATTTAGCAGCTGGTTTTTGGCCTGATACTCCATTTGGTTTTGGCAGCATTTCAAAGAATGCTGCTAAAGAGGTCACAATCTTCACCTTCTTACCAAACTGCTGACAGTTTTCACTCAAGACACCCCCACCCCCACCCCCCTTTTTCCTGCATTACAACACCCCCATGGTCCTTAATGACCAGCTGCTCCCCAGTACTTGCTGAGACACTGCCTAGGCTGGCATCCAGCAAGCAAACTGTCCACAGTTCTCACAACATTCACTCAGGAGCACGTTGTACACTTCTGAAATTGCAGTCTGAAGGTTAAATAACAAGATAAAAAGTATTGTGACTGCTCAACAAGGCCAGATAAAACAGAATTGTAAACCAGGGTAAGTTATGCAAAATATGCCTCACTGTCAAATAACAAATAAATTTAAACATTTTTTCTCATATTCAGCTTCAAAGACAACAATCTTTCCTAGAAGAAACAAACTGCATTTCCTCCTAGAAATAAACTGCATTTCTTCCAAGGAGTTGATCAGCTGCATCCCATCTAATTAGGGCTAGAACTTTATCTCGGTTCTATGTAGCAAAAAGGAAAGAAAATTTAGTATTACCTTTTCCCAGTAAGATTCCAGCCACCAGAGCTTTTTCATATGAAAGGCTTTCGTTTTCCTGCCAATTCTTTTTTGCCAAGTAGCGGCTAAAGTGGAAGGCTGGCCACCAGTCCTTTCTGGACTTCCATTCCTGCTTGATCCAGGAAAGATGCTTCTCAGAGCTGCAAAAAAGTAAAACAAGTTAGAGAAAAATCTTAAACTGGGAAGAAAAGACAATTAAAAGGCACTAAATTTTACAATCTATATAAGTCTCAAATTACTACCATAGACTCACCGACCTTACACTGCAGACTGAAACACTAATCTAAACATAATTTTTTTTTTTTTTAAATCCCTGGCAACACTACTGAGGCAGGAGGTTAACTTCAGCAGTCTTATATAGACTTGGCAAGATTATGGCGTGAAATGAAGGAAGCCTTTGACTTGTGTCCCACTTTGACGAACTTTAAGAAACTTTTTTATTACTATTGACAAATTAGTAGCATGAAGGTGTTAGGGGTTAGAAAAGGTTTGTTTGACTCTATGCATACTCAAAGACTAATTTATCCCAAATATTTATCATAATAGCTGTTATGCAATGAAGACCTTAAACCAAGCATTTCAGAAATAGAAACTACCTACAACCAGGAAGTGATATTCCCTAAAAAAGACCAAGATGCCCAGTATATTTCAAGATATTCTGAATCTGTGTCTTCAAATACAAAAACGCCGGCAAAGTTGATTGAGAGCACTGTACCATTTTTACTAACTATGCAGCAACAATCCTAGTTTTAATCACTAGTCTCTAGACCTTGACAGCAGATGCTGAGGAGGTGGCAATAGCAATAAAACAGCAAAACAGGTCAAATTAAGTACCAAATTAATTTACTGTAAATCTATAGGGCTTAAAAAACACAATACCCTGTTTGTGGGTAAAATAAAGTCTAGATATTGGAGTCCTGGGCATGGCTTCTTCTAAAATCAGAGGCCACATCTTTCAGCACTGAAAAGGAGACATCAATCCCCAGGCATGATGGCACAGCTTTTAGAAATACACTGACTGCATTCTGTAACAGTTACCACCGTCACACAACACACCAGTCTGCAGTACCAGCCATGCCCCTACTGCAGCCCTGCAATTCTCAAACCAGCTTCAGATAACACACGTCTAGTTAACACAGCAGAAGACCCAACAACTTAGTGTCCTCCTGCCCCCTAAAGAGGGAGGTTAGTGATGGGCAGCAAATGCTACCCAAACATATCTAACTCTTTCTGCAGAAGCACATAACTTGGTAAAAATCCACCCTTTTTCAGGCAATGACAATACCAGAAATTCAGAATTCTCCTCAACAATAATTTCTTCTTTCCTCCCAGTAAAAGCACACTGCAGTCAAGCACTGCCACAGAAGTCACGGTAGGCCAGATGACTCCTCCATTCACCAGCATGAAGACAAATGCTACATACAGAGTGTCACTTTGCCAATTGCCCCAAGGTGGGGACAACAGATTTGTTTTTAGCTCACTGCAGCAGATATACTTACATTACAATTCGTTTCACCTGTCTTGACAAACATCTCCATGCTTTTATGTTTTCCTTACAGCCAGCATAATCCAAGACTGCAAAAATAACTTCTAGTCCAAGTCGACGTCTTTTCCTTTTCTCTAGAAAAAGATTAGGCTGATTAATGAATTACTTACATCGGGCTGAACTCATTAGTAAGTAATAACTGAAATACAGTTCTTCATCCTGCTTCTCCAAATGCTGCTACTGTCCCTGTTACTGAGGGTTCCCCACATTGCCTTCTGCCTCTTCCAAGAGATAAAGTTAAGGAATACTTCCTGGCTCTAGAGCACAACTCATCCCAGATACATTTTGTCCCTACTGCCACTCTGCTCAAAAACTGCTGACTTGAGGCACATGTAGGACCACTCACTTATCCCACACCACCTTGCTTACAATAGGTGCTGTTTCCAAAGCTCACTAACCAGTGCTTCCAACTGGCACCACTGTTCAACATGTTCTTCCCATGGGAAGGCACACAGTGCCTCTGAAACACTTCAAATCCTGAGATGCCACCAAAAAAAGAAAATCTAGGACTGCTATGAATACAACAGACATTTCACATCAGCAGAGTTCTTAAAACAATGCTTGACCCATCACAGGAGGTAAACATGGGAGAAGTTATGTTTATCAGTGTGAATTTCTTCAAAAACCAGATTGTGCTCATTAGCTATGAAAACTTAGCAAATTTGTCATGCATGAACAGAGAAAAGGAGGTTTCAGACAGGAGGTTGCTTTTCCACCCTCCCAAAGAGGAAAAGCAGAAGAGAAAACAATCTTTATTCATGAACATTTCACCAATCTGCTGACCTGCTGGAACATACCAAGACAGACATCTTGGAATACAACTGAACAGCGTGGGAAAAAAAAAAAAAAAAAGAGTCTCCAAACTGGAAGACTCTTCTACCAGCTTGAAGATAAAACTCCCTTGAAGAGAAAGAAAATTTTATTCTTTGATCAGTAACAATGAACTAAAGCATAGAACCATGCCAATTCCTCCAAAAGAAAAATAAATAAATTAAGAGACCCCAGAAAGGGAATAGAGACCCTAAAAAAAAAAAAAAAAATTTTTGAGATTCTGACTGTGCCTTACAACAGTTTGCTTTGATCAGCTTTTGAAATGAGAAAGGCATTTGTTTATAGAAGTTTGGAAATGCCTAGTCACACATCCAACTTAAAAGTTCCCGTGCCTGGAAAGTTGGGTTTGGGGTTGTTACATTGGGTTTTTTTTTTTCCCCCTTAAATTACTTCAAAAAACAGAAAAAAGGCTGTAGAATAATTTCAGAATACTATTCTAGATTAACATAAAGGAAAGGTGCAAAGATATTTAAAGACTTACTTGATTTTTGAAGCATGGTATTAAAATCTATCATTAGTTCATGAGAAGGAACAATATCATGCAAAATCTGAAAAACAAAAATAAAACCACAAAACCCAGACATATTATTTTAACATGAAAACTTTTGCAGACTTCTACCTGAAGAGAAGCACAGGTGTCAGTTTTGGGTGGTTTAGTTAGGAAAACTAAGCAATCTGGCACCTTAGTGCCTTGATATAAAGAATTAATATATCTAGGTCCATTTTGCACATCTGTGACACAACAGATGAAATACCTTGATGACTGCTGAGGAACACTGCATGTGACAAACACAACATTCTCAAGGAACAGCCCAAATCCATATCTAGTGTCCCCTTTTGAAAAGGCAATATAATTTCCTTCCTAGGCCAGCTCTAGCTCCCCTGTCTACTGCTCTGTGCATTGAATCACAGTTTCCGGATTTATCAGACCACTACTTTGATTTGTCACTAGCTTGCAAGAGACTAGTGTCTAAAGCCACTGCTAAAAGCACTGAGAAGGTGGAATTTTATATATATATATGCAGCAGCTTAAAAGTCTAAGCTTTAAGAAGCTGTTGTTTCAAAGCATCTGCCTTAACGAAAGCATGTTAATGCTATTAAGTGGCAAAGCGGATTACAAGAAGCTACCAAGATAAATGAGCAAGGACAAGGAAAGCAGGAATTTAAAAGCAACTACACAAAAGCTTAATACAGCAAGGCCTTGTCTGCCAAGAGCCAGCAGAAATTAACTTCTATGTTAGCTTAAATGCACAGCTCATTGAAAACTATGAGAGAATTTAATTGCTAGACAGGATCAGCATGTGGAAGAGCAAGCATCTAATAATTTCTTCAATATTGTAAAGATTAAGCTGTAACAGAAATCAATGTGTGTTATGTACAAGACTGCTGATACAAACTTCTGGAACCATGTAAACACATTCTCTGAGCTTCTTTACTGACCTTAAGTTATACAATATATCAGTTAAAGGCAAAACAAAGACTTGAATTCAAAGACAGTAAAGGACTGTTTGCTCCACTATTAGCATCCCTCACGCTAACTCTCCTCTTACCCTCTGCTTCCCACAAATAAAACAGGGTAAATAATGTTACAGGAGCAACTAAACCAAACTGTCGGACATCATGCAACATGAATGACTATCTACTGTATAATATATACCTTCAGTACAGATATGAGCGATTTCTTTGATTCACCATGTCTCTTCAGGAACTGATAGAGGTAAATGTGAGCATTGGGGTTAGTAGGAAACTCTGGGTTGTAGGCGTATTCGTTTAAAACTTGGCGGGCTTCGTTATGGTCTCCATAGAACTCCAACATCTAAAAGAAGTTAAGTTCGTTGTTAGTTTGCCACATATTAGCAATCAAAGTTTGGGTTGCCACAGAACTATCCTATAGCACAGTCTGTATCTAAGAGTACCAGCATATTAGATAGGACTAAGACTAATGTATTTTAACTTCACTGGCCACTCTCACCACAGACAGACCAAAACATCGCACACAGAAGCTGCTGCAGGAGAAAATTCCTTTAACACTTTAACCGTCACGAGAATTACCAGCACTTGCTCACTGGAAAGAGACACTGAAGCAGCCTAACATATTTTTGAAGAGAGAACTCCATGATAGAACTTGGCAGCTATTAGCACCAAGTAAAATTCTGTAAGAACAGCTTAGAAAAGTCAGTTTATCAGCATTTACAAAAAAGTAAGTAACTTCAAAAATATTTTAATATTACTTTTTAATTATAAATTCTAAGCATGTATTTTAAAAAATCAAACACATAAGGACTGCATGTTTGATGTCTTGAACATTTAACATATCCAGAAAAATACTGCCCTGCCAAAGATAGAACTTTGCTTTCAGGAATTTAGACAAAGCAGCTGTGCTCCAATTTCTGTACTAGCACTATGCAAACAAAATATGCAAGCTGTTTCTCTACTTCCTTTTCTTGGCAATGCACAGAAAGTCCTTTTTGTACTCTGTGCAGGCTCTGCAGTTCTACCAGGAGTAAACTGTGCTCTAAATCAAAGCCAGTGAGATACATGTATGGATATGTTACTTTCAAAATACCTTGTTGTCACCTACAGAAACAGAAAAAAGGTGCACACGGACATCTTAATGAAAATTAGACAGGGAAATGCAAAAGAAAGATAGCTTTAAAACATGCCCTTACATCCACATAGCATGTCACAAATTGATCCCAGACTCCAGGCATTTTAATAATCTCCTTTAAGTTCGCCGCTGCCTTCCGAAAGCAACTGTGCATTTCCTGTTCAACAGACAAATCTTCAAATCCCTCCTGACCTACCAAAATATGAAAGAACACCACAAAGTTAGCTCTGCTAATCAAAAGGGATCTTGAAGTGGTGCACCTAAGAGACGATCACATTTTGCTAAGGACAGACTCCAGAGAGCTTCTAAGAGAGGCCTCAGTTCCCTCAGTACTGAAACAAGAAATTTTTACTGCACCACATTCAAATTTATTATTACCCACTTTCAACTTATGGGGCAAAATGGTTAGTGTTCCAAGACAAGCTGCTACCAGCACAAGGTACATTAACCAAATCCAATACTTAGTTTTCACAGAAACAATTAAAGATCCAATGTAAGTGATAATGCACAGCCAGCAGGTATATGCAGAATTAGATGCCACACACAAGTAGCAACTTACACATCTGTAAAGAAACTGAAATTCAAACAGAAGTTTTGGGGGCTTTTGCTAGCACTCAAATTTCTAGCAACAGTCAAGCACTTAAGCACCTATTAAGTCACTGCTATAAGTGAACACATTCCTTTATTCATTATTTTAGGTGATGCTGCCTGTATATAAGAAATGTGGTTGGGCAGAAGAAAAAGTTTCAGAACAGCATTTTAGGACACTTCAGAAAAGTGCAGGTCAGTGTGCCATTTTGGCACCACCATCATTGCTAGTCTAGAATTATGTATCAAATTTTGAAGTCTGGTAAAAGAATAGGTGTCACTGCAAAACACGGTGTCTGCACAAGCAAGTAAGCTGAAGTTTATACAGCTCAATACAAAAACACTTACCATGCTCTAACAGGATGTTCTTCTGCTTACACCACTTATAGTAGTCCAACAGTCCCATATAAGCCTGAATCAGTTTCTGTTCTTTATTCTGAATGACTGTTTGTTCTCCAAACCTCCAGCTTTCTGCCAGGGACAGGTTTTGGTAAGCTTCATCTATTAGTCCTTTACCAAGGAGATAGAAGGCATGCTCTAAACAAACCTGCAATTCAAACAGTCCATACCACAGCATTTCACATCACAAATTGAGAGATTCTCAGCAATAGAGTTCTACACAGATATGTAGGGAAAGAAGAGACTCATGACTGACATGCATATAGAACATTGCAAACACAGTAAAGTATTTTAATTAGAAGAGCATTTTACACGTTCTTTTATCCAAACAGTATCTTTACAAGGAATTTTGAAGAAAAATACAGGAATGGGAGTATATCAGTGTCACTGGGGGCAAGGAGATCAGCCAAAAACCTAAGTAATTTTTTCTGTCTGAAGGTGCTGTAGAAACATTAATAATTAAAAGCAAATCTGATATACAAAGATGTATCCCTGGGAAGGGAAAGGGCTGAAGTTCTTGAAATCTGTGGGGTAGGAAGTCACCCATCAGGCAGTAGACACTCAGCAGTACTTATCAGGCAGCCGAAAGCAATTGTCTCAAAAAAATCTGCTTGTCATTAACAAGTGCTGTACCCATTTAAGATGATCCAGAAATGACCCGAGGAAATCCACCTGGGCTGTATTTGCTGATTTCTCATTTGGCTACCCAACTGCAGAACACCTTAAAGAGGGATGTCCTACCCTATCATGTTGATGAGGCACTGGATAAAAGTCTAAACCTTCAGTTAGCTCTAGAAAACTCTCATACAGAGCTTCTGTTAAAGGCCTCAAACAAATACAACATAATGAAAGACAGAAGCATCATCACAAATGAGAAACAGTTAAGGAAACCAAGGCAATATAGGTTTGAATGAGCCACCATAGGAAAAAAAAACCCTACAGCTGGTGACAGAGGTCCACGCTGCTACTGTTTTACAGACAGATACACACCTCCCTACTGTTTTATATATAGATTAGCTACTTGAAAAGTGAGTGGGTAACCATGGCAAAATTTAAGTATAACTGTTTAGTCTGGAGCACAGTGATCAAATTAAGGACTAAAACCAAAACTTGGCAGGTGTTATCATGTAGTTAGATGCTACTGGGGCATGCATGAAAAAACTTAATGATTGCAAATTCAAATTAAGAGATCAATTAAAGGATCTAAGGACTTCACTTCTAAGGACTGACAATACACATCTGTGATCAAATATGTAGACAATATATTGTTAGGTACAGAACAACCCTTAAAATATCACACAACTGGTAACTCACAGATGTACTTTTTTTTTCACTATCATTAATAACATTTCAAGAGAGAGGTTCAGAAACTAATACTCAAGCGTTCAGATGTGGAAAGTCATCAAGATTGCATTTAGTGTACTCACCTTCAAATACCTTTTTACACTTAAAGTTTTAATTGGTTCTATGAAAGTGTTAAACTCTTTTACGCTGCTGTTAGGAAGATGCCTCAGAATTTCACTTCCTATTCTCCAAATAATCTATCAATGGGGAGAAACAGATTAAAAAATAACCTTAGTACAAAAATGGCAGTCACCATATATACAGTCTTCTCAAACTTCCTGTTACCGTAACATATGAAAAAATGTACATTTGTATTGCAAATAAAAAATACTAATTATTATCTACTGCTATAGTAACCTACATATTCATCTAGTAGGACTTCTACAATCATTTAGCAGGTGCTTCATAATTGCTCATTATAAATGATTATATCATTATGAAAATTGCATGTCAGAAGGTTCCCCCTCCTGTTACTGAAAAATTATGTTTTCCTTCCATATGATTCCTCTAAGACACAAGGTACATATATTTCTTTGAATTTAGTAACAAAGATTATTTCCAATTAGATGTAGCTTCCCATCTATGTGCACTTGTTTTCAAGATCTGCCTACACAATGTAATCAAATATTCCAGTAGGCTAGCCATATTCAAATACTCCACTTATTTAACAGCCCCTTTCCTCCTGCCTCTATCTCAGTACCTGCTAGGAGTTTTGCAAGTATTGGAGGAGCGGGTACAGACCTAAATAAGCCTGTAACTTTCAAACAGATTCTGACTGTTGGCATGCCAGTGGCAAACATTTACTGCTTTTCCATTTTAGAAGACTACTTTAAGATGACTTTTCATAGATATGCTCCTGATGGAATTAACACATACCAAGCCAAGTTTTCAACTGTTGTGTCAAGGGCCTATGTGAAAAAGACAAAACAAAAACCCCACACAAAACCAGCCTGTAAACCCAGAGAACTTTTCAGGAGCGCTAAGCACCCTGTCAGGAAAAACATCAGACAGCACTATAGATTCTCAGCACCCCTGAAAGTGAGAGCTAAGGAAGCTCCAACAAGATTTGTAAAACCCACAGCAGAGGCATGCCTGTGTGGAAGCAGACTTCTAGTGAGTAACTGGACAGCACACTGCCTTGAGTACTACCGACAATAAGGTCTGCTGTACTTTCTGCAGCCTGTCATCTAACAGTTGCTTATTTGGTTTTGGAAGCTTCAGTGTCCTTTTTTTCAAGAAACTAGTTTAGTTATGAAATTTGCCTAACTTTTCAGTTCTTACCTCTATTTTTTTTTCTAATTTAAAAAAAGTATCAAGCCTGTGATTAGTCAAGAAAAATGCTGATCCTGAAGTATAGTTGTTTCTTACAAATATTTTTTCAACTGCAAAAGAACTCTGATAAGGCACATTTGCTTACCTCTGACGCACCCACAGGTTCTCTAGAAAAGTCTTTTTCCAGTGCCTCAACATAGAAGGTCAGAAACTCTGCAGCCCTTTTCCACTGTTTTCGTAGCATGGCATCCTGAATGAAATTTAAACACAGTTCCTTGCACTTCTTGAAATTAAATTTGGATTCACAGAAAGATGCTAAAAAAACAAAACAAAACAAAAAAATCAACCAAGCCCACAACTGTCACAGTCCTTATTCAAATAAAAATGTGCCTAACATTTCTTAAATGATCTGACACTACAGAAAGTGATCTCAAGCTATGTGGTTTTGAACACATATGCAAGTCTGCAGTTAAGCAAAACTAAGGCAAAAGCTGAAAATATAATATGAAATGGCATTTTCCACAAGCAGCACACACTTGAAACAGTGAAGAGCCAATTATTACACACTACTGCCCTACCAGAATTAGACCATGGCACTTTGGTAACTTCACAGTACATTCTGTTATATTCTGGGGACCACCCTCTTTCCTTACTAGTCATCATCTAAGTTTGTCACCCTGCTGCGCTGAAGATTTGCATACATGCATACAAACAGGCCCTTCCAGTAGCAAAGGCTAAGCAATTCCCACTAGAAAGAAAGATAATTATTCGCTTTTAAGACCAGAAAGAGGCCACTTAGCCTTTTTATATGAATACCGGTTCAACTCCTGTTACAGCACAAAATTGGAACCTCGTTTCCACATCTGTTTAAAGCTCGCGGCTGTATACCATGGTCTAAACGTGCCACTAGAACAATGTTCAAGCCGTAAGAGCCTTCTGCAAAGGACACGCAAAGCCCACCGAAGCACCTCCTGTCCGGATGCTGTAGGCAAAGGAGTAACTCAGACACCGGCTTGAAGCAGGTTTATTACAGTGCACTCTACAAAATGACCTCTAACTAACCTATCTATGTGTCTAGCCTTCACACCTCTAACCTCAAAGGCTCCAAGTACTAAAAAAATAAAACTTACAGTGAACACCACAAGATTAAGTACAAGGACCGCGGCTACTACAAGTAAGCAAGTAATAAGGAAGTTGTTGAGGTCAGCTGAAACGGACAGAGCTGACGTAAAATGTTTCGCTACAAAGGTATTTTGAACGAACTTCTCCAGAGGTTTTGCGGCCACCTGCATCCACAATGCTTTTGTTATCAGTCACCTCACGGGCCCTTACTCTACGAGAAGCGCCCACGCCGCCTTCAAGCGCCCGCACGCCGCAGCCAAGGGGCACCGGGAACCCCAACGGCCTCTTCGGTGGGAGACCGGGGGCGAACCGCGAAGGGAGGGGGCAGGCCGGCCACACCGGCCCCGGGAGCAGTAGGGGCAGAAGGGGCGACCCCCGTCGTGGCCGGAGCAGGGGGAAGGGGAACGGCAGAGTACGGGGAGCCGCGCCGGCAGGACGGGGGCGAGCGGGCGCCATGGGGGCCGCGCCCGCCGCCGGGCAGCTCCGCCCTTACGCTCTT